GCTCCGGCTCCTTCCCCACCAGAGAAGTGACGTTCCACGTCCCAAGTGCCAGCTTCTGTAGCCGAGGATCAGACCGCCAGGGTCCCCTCCTTTGGCCGCCGCCTATTTCACACAGCACCCGACTCCTTTGGCCCCTCCTACAGGTGGTGAGTCTTTTGGAAGGGGGACCCACATCTCCTCTTCGGGTTGAGCCCGGCCGGGCTCTGTGGGTGAAAGCCCGGCCACCAGGCGCTCGCCATCGTGCCCCACCTCCAGGCCTGGCTCCAGAGGGGGGCCCCGGTGACCCGCGTCCGGGCGAGGGAACGCTAGATCCAAAGTTTAACATCATCATAAGGGGTCTTCGGGCTGCACTTTGTTTCCTCACCTAGGACCTGTCTGCCTTGGGTGACCCTACCAGGGGCATAAAGCCCCAGACAGCATAGCTCCTAGGAACATAGCAGCCCAAGGAGATGGTAAATGTTACACATTAGTACAAATTCAGGAGTCAAGCTCTCCTCCAATTGACTGAACTAATGCTTATGTCTGTAATATTGCAATCATGACTGCCTTTTCCTCTATGTTTGTTACTTTTTAAGCCTAATTAATATGCTATCAGAAAGTATTTACAAAAAAGTATTTACAGTGCTTCACTTTTTTGACATTTTGTTAAAGGGATCCACAATTAGTTGTAACATTAAATTTTATTTGATAAACATTTATTTTAACTGTAAAATAAAGACTTTAAAAACGAGAGGAGAATGTGTAGCGCTGAACTAATACATAGGGTGTGTCCAAAATGGCAGGCCGGGTCCTCCGAAGGCCGAATTCGTCGGCCGCATACGTCACAGCGCCGCGATGAAGGCCGTCCAAAACCGAAGACTCCTCCGATGCAGCCGACAAATACATTCTTCCTTTTCCCCGATTTGAAGGACAGGTCTGATGAATCCTTCCCAACCCAACATATCTCATAATGCATTGCGGCCCAACCGGAGATTTTTTTTCTTGTAATGGTGGACGAACCGAGAGTCAAAGCGATGGAGGAGTACAGTTTTAAATGTAAGTATATTAAAATCTGCTGGTAAAAAATAAAAAGCAGCTGTTTTCTTAGGCTTTAGTCCTTTGCATTTATATGTTTTAAAATAATATTTATCTCAGAAATATCGTGAATGAGCTCGTGTGGCGGGTCCTTTAGTTTTTCGTGTATTCACACTAACTAAGCTAGTTTTTAATTTGAGACATTTTTATTTGCTATTTTTTAGGGTCCAAGGAGCAGACWGAAGTTTTTATAAAGCTGAGGGAAAAAAATGAACACCTCTTCACGGGGTTTAAGAATTCGGCCGCTGTGGGATGGAGGTACAAGAATAAACTTATCATAAAAGTTATTAAAAAACTTATAACCTGTGATCTTAAATTGAGTATACTTTCAATGGGGTTCCACTGGCTTTCCTTTTGTGTTCTGCTATGAAAACTATTTTTACAAGAAGGGATTGACAGCTTACACGTTTCCTCTTCACTTATTTTTGTGTATGTTATAAGGACAATTCTGGAGAAGATGGGCCTGCAGGGTAAATCATCCCCCTGCAGGCCAAAAAGAAGTGGGACAATTTGAAAAGAAAGAATAAAGTATGTATATGAGAAGTGAAGAATTACATTTTTTAACTGCACATCTTTTAAAAATGTTCATTTTTAAAAGACGTTTCTTTTATTCTCAACTGTGATTTCTGATTTCCTCTGTGTTTAGGATTGCAAGTATCCAGGTTCAGGAGAGGGAGTCAGTGGGAAGCCCACTGCTGCTACTTGGCCCTGGTTTGACCTTATGGATGAGGTGTTAGGACAGAGGCCTTCCATTACGCCTCCTGTCCTAATTTCCTCCA